TGGCTACAACTTTACATTTTTGTTCTAGTAGGATCCAATGTGGATTAGACATGATCCTTTTTCGTATAGCCCCAGCAGAGAACCAGAAGTGGCTAATGTAGGGGCCTTAGTCATTAGAATAGGGTTTTTGGGCTCCTTTATAGTGTAATTATACTAAGGAGCCCCCAAAACCCTTTTATTATTAAGGCCCCTACAGTATCACCTTGCGTATTCCCCCCAAGCCCCCCACTCTGGCTGCCCAAGACCCGGAAAGCCCAGGCGCAGATCCTGAGCCTCGATTTTCAAACCCTGAACCTCAGCTCTTCCAGACCGTAAGACCCCAAAGCCCCAAAGCGCTAAACCTCAGAAGCCTAAAATCTCTCAGCCTTATATAAAGCGGTTTAGGGTTCAGTGCTTAGGGTTCAGGGGTTTAGGGCTAAGCGCTTAGGGTTTAGGGCCAAGGCTTAAGACCCTAACGCCCTAAACCTTGAAGCCTAAGCCCAAAACGACGACGCAGGCGGTCGTCTGAGAGACGAGCTTCAGCTGTGCCAAGACGAGCTCAGGCCTTTGACTTTTAGCCCTAAACTGTGATTGCATGGGGCCATTCCATCGGGCAGTTGTGTGGTTTGGGTTCTTGATAGGGTGCTCGTTGACATGGTGATGGCACCCTCAAAGGGACATCAATCGTAGAACCCTAGCCCGAACCTAAACCCTCGACCCTCCACCTCAGAGCCTAATCCTACACCCTAAACCCTAAACCCTAAACCCTAAACCCTAAAACCCTAAACCCTAAACCCTAAACCCTAAACCCTAAATCCTACACCCCAAGGCCTGAATCCTAAAACCTAAGTTTTACACAATGCCCACACCCAAGAACCTAAGTCCTAGCACCCACAACCTGGACCCCGAACCCTGGATTCTCAATCTTCCAAAACCGGAGCCCTCAAATTAATCCCAAACCCTAAACCCGAAACCATAAGCCCTAAACCCTAAACCCTAACCGGACCGTCTATGCTAGAAAACCCTAAGCCCTGCAACGCAGGCTGCTACCGGCGTGAAGGCTCCAGCTTCGTCTGTCACGGCGTCTCCTTCCCACGGGCAGGCAATACAGGACTAAGCGCAGTACATGATTTGGGGTTTGGGGGTTCTGAGATTTTTGGGGGTTTTAAGGTTTTGGGGTCTAGAGTTTAGGGTTTTGGGGTTCAGGGTTCAAGGTTCAAGTGTTTGCGGGTCTGCGTGTTCATCTAATGCTTGGAGGTTTTGGGCTTCCCTAAACCCTAAAACCTAAACCCTAAACCCTAAACTTGAGAAGGGGTGGGCAGTTTGTGTGACGCACAAGAAACGAGCGGCTCTAGACCAAGGCTCTCATGCCCTGGGTTTAAGGGTTGTCCTGGCACTTAATGTAGGGGCCTTCATAATTAGAACAAAGTTTTGGGCCATATCATACTATATCCATAATAGTAAGGAACTCCCAAAAGAATATAGGTAATTATTCAGGCCCCGATATTACCGTAACTTAGTAGCAGAGTAGCCAATGTTTAATCTGTAATCCCAAGGTAAAGTCTGTGATCAACCCGTGTAAAACTGCACACCGCACCGCGGTATCGTTTGTGACCTTGGCACGGCTGTTCGAACCTCCGTACACCCAGCAGTTCCAGCCGCAATAATTGCGCCAAGCCTCAAACCTGTCAGACCCCTTAACCCTAAGTTCTAAGCCCACAACCCAAAACCCTAGGCCCTAAGCCCCAAACCCTAAACCCTAAGCTCTAAACCCAAAACCTTAAACCCTTAGTGCCCAGAGCCCTAAACCCTAAGCTCTAAACCCAAAACACTAAACCCTAAGCTCTAAACCCAAAACACTAAACCCTAAGCTCTAAACCCAAAACCCTAAATCCTAAGCTCTAAACCCGGAGCCCTAAACCCTAAGCTGCTTTCAATCTGCCAGCGGCGTGCGCTGGTCGTCGGCGGTGGCGTGGCGGGATTGGCCACAGCAGGGCAGCTTGCGAAGGAGGGCCTCAAGGCCGTCCTGAGGAGGGCACATATGTGGGCCTTAACAAGTGGAATCGGGATTGGGGAGTATAGTATGGTACAACTCTATATATATATATATATATATACATATACACACACGCACACACACACACATATATATATATATATATATATATACGAGGAGGGAACATTGCTTTCAGGTTTTGGTCTAGATCATAGCATGGTTAGGTATGGGCCCTCAGCCCCAATTAAGACCCAAAGCCCTTGAAGCAAATGGTTCGCACTCGGCTTTAACGGTTGGGTCTGTATAGGATTTGCGTGAGATTGAGCGCTTGGAAAGCAGATTTAGGATCGTTCCGATTTGTCGTTCTGGTTTTTGGCATTCGCGTTTGAGCTCTCTCGCTCTCTCGACCCTTGACCCCAGCCCGAAAAATCTGACAAGGTGACGCTCTATGAGAAAAACAGCCAAGTTGGCGGACGCTGTCAATCGATGCAGTCGACGAAGGTGGACGGATACCGTGCCAGCCCCGGAATTAGGGTCAAGGGGCTTGTGTGTAAAGGAGCGACGGATGACTCAAATCCTGCAGCATGGACCCCAAACCCCAAACCTTGAAGTGCAAGCCCATACTTTAATGCTTCGGTCTTACAGCCTCAACAAAGCCTACCTCCTGCTCCGTGTACATCCGCCCCTGAGCTTCATTCATGTCAAAACAGGTTTAGGTTCGTTGGCTTTCTGATGATGTCATGTGTTCAGCATAGCCCCAAAACCCAGAACCCAAAACTGGTGCAGGATCCCAAGCCATGATATAGGAGCCCAAATAATTACTATTACTATTTTGGGGTTCCTCATTTTATCTATATAGTTTAATGAGCCCCCAAACCCTATTCTAATTATTAAGCCCCCTGTATTACAGAGCACCGTGTATTCACCCCGCAGGGTCAGAGTTCAGGGGTTTGGACATCTGCGCAAGTGACTTCAAGCCCCGCAACATGACGCCAAGTCCTGAAAAAGATGAAAACAGCACAACAACCACAGGGCTTTGAGGCCCCAGGTCCTAAAGCCCTGAAAAGAAGCTGCAAAGCAAGCTGCAAGTCGCAATCAGGATGGGACACAGGGCCCTCTCTGATGCTGCTCCCGAAGAAGTACGAGGCACGTGATCAGAAAAGAGTTCAGAATCTGGGGTTCTGCGAACTATCTTGCAGTTCTTTCTTCTGCACCGAATATAGTCCGCGACGCGACAGCTGACATCTCCCTCCATAATCCGAAACGCTGCAAGTTCAGAATCACTAGAACTCTCTTGCGCGTCTAACGGACCAGAGAGATGCAGCAGGTCACGCGGAAACTTCAGGGGGCCAGTTGCAGTCGGAACGGTCTTTGCAAGTTCATTCTAGGTCTTTCTGCAGGGTCATGGGCTGTTAAGGGGGCTTTTTACTTCCCTAAATTCCGAACCTTGAACCCCAAACCCTAGACTCCAAGCCCCTAAACCCAAGACCCAAAACCCCTAAACCCTCATCTTGGTTTTGGTGTACATTGTGCGATTCTTAGGGCAGGATTTAGGGTTTAGGAGTTTATGGTTTAGGGCCAAAATCCTCACCCCTAAATCCCAAGACGTTAGGACACTATGCCCTGAACAAAACACGGTAATCCCGATGCCCAAAGAGCCCTATCGCCGTAAAGATCAATTCTACCCCCACCCTACACCCTAAACCCTAAAACCCTAAAGCCTAAAACCCAAAGCCCTAAAACCCTAAACCCTAAAACCCTAAACCCTAAAACCCTATCGCCGAATCCTGAACTCCAAACACCACACCCTGGACCCCACACCCTATGCCTAGGGCCGTTTGCCATCGGTTGGCTTTTGGAAGTCGTCGCCGCCAAAAAGTCTCCAAAACTCTGAAACCATGGAACATGCACACCTCAAATTATGCAGGAATCCGTGGTGTGATCCTCACCGAAGAACATACCGTAAATTATAGCGGGATAGTTTTCTGAGTCGCGGTAGATTCCTTCATCAATGGCGTTGGAGATGTCAGCCAGGACGCCTACAAACGACTGGGCACCGACATGAAGAAGGAGCTCAGTAGGTTGAAGCCAGGTAGTATTAATAAAGGATCCCTTAATTTAGGGTTCAGGGTTTAAGGGTTTAGGATGTGGGGTTTAGAGATCGATATACATGAGCCCGGATTTTCCCTGACCCCACCACCGTCATCCCACCCTTGAGTCCCTGTGAGGAGCTCAACCTCAAACGTGCTCCTGGGTTGCAGCGAGACAAGTTGGGGAGTAGAGTTGAGGGTTTAGGGTTTAGGGTTTATGGGGAGGTCTCGACACAGGGTCGAGTGATGAGGGTTTAGGGTTTAGGATTAGAGGCTATTGTGGTTGGGGCTTCATGGTCCAAGGATACTTGGAGGATCACGGGACTTAATAAGTAGGGTTATAAGTACCTTAATTGGGGTTATAAGTAATTATCAGTATAGTTACCTTAATTATAACCCTAGTTGCTAAGTCCCATGATCCTTTCAGTAAGTCTAGAGTTTGGGCGCGCGTTTGTGAGGTCCTTGAGTGTGTAGGATATCGGACTCAGGCCGTGAAAACGCCGCGAGTCTGCCAGTACTAAACCCTAAACGGTTTAGGATTTAGGGTTTAGAGTTTAGGGTTTAGACCCTAAGCCCTAAACCCTAAACACTAAAGCCCGAACTTCCTAAATTTAGCCTTAAAACCCTAAGCCCTATACGCCCTAAACCCTTGAAGTACATCGCTCTGTTGCTCGGTGTGTGAGCCCACGTCTGTAACCATGACGCGCCAGGACTCCGCGCCCTACCCTAAACCGTAAACCCTAAAGTCTTGCACGGCGCTGTGTGGAAGCCTTAAGAACCCCTTCGAACTCGACATCTCTCGTCTCAAATTATCGTCAGGTCTGTACCCTAAACCCTAAACCCTAAACCCTAACCCCTAATCCCTAAAACCGAAATCCTAAATCCCTAAACCCTAAACCCGAAATCCCGAAATCCCTAAACCCTAAACTCCCAGACTTTGAAGCTCAACCCTCCCAGGTTGATCCGCCATACCGAGTCTCCTTCGGTGACGAGACCTATGTGGATGTGGATTACGACCCCATGAAGATGTTCTCTGGCAGCCTCAGCCCAAGGCCCTAAGCCCTAAACTTCTTAAGCCCTAAACCCGAAACCCTAAACCCGAAACCCTAAACCATAAACCCTGAACCCGAAACCCTAAACCCTAAACTTCCTAAAGCCTAAACCCTAAACCCTGAACCTTAAAACCCAGGAAGATGTTCTTTGGCATCCGACCCTAGACTAGAGAGATGAAGGAGGGCGCACATTTTCGGAGTTTAGGGGTGGTATGGTTAAGGGATGTTAGGGGTTCAGGGTTTAGGATTTATTTAGTATTTAGAGTTCAAGGTTTAGGGTTTGGGGTCTGGGACTGATTTGTCGAGTTCCGGACGCAACACTCAACCCTAAAACCTAAACCCGAAACCCTAAACCCTGAAACCCTTCGCCCCCAAAATCTGCTGGGGCTCACTGTGGGCTGCAGACCCCATCTCCGACAGCCTTGACCCGAAATCGCGATTCAGGAGCCCCTAGCCCAAGAACTGTTAAAACCTGGAGACCGAGACCTTGAATTTAAACCCCTATCTCTTGACCTCTGCTGGTCGAAGGCTCTGGGCCTACAGACCCTAAACCCTAAACCCTAAACCCAGAGTTTACGTTTCCAGGGTTCTGACGGTTGCTGAGGACGGAGCAGATGGAGAAGTTCGAGCCTGGATGCACGAGCAGCTGCCGCCGCAATACGCCCTACTTCAAGGTTCATGGGACTTAGTAAGTAGGGTTATAAGTACCTTAATTGGGGTTATAAGTAATTATAAGTATAGTTACCTTGTTTATAACCCTAGTTACTAAGTCCCATGATCCTTTAAGTAACCTTAACGGAACCCTCCTGAACCTTCGACCCTCAACCCTAAACCCTACAGGAAGCCTGAAAGGAACCGCCCTAACCTAAACCCTAAACCCTAAATCCCTAAACCCTAAACCCTAAACCGTAAGGGAAACCTTAATCGCTCAAACCCTGAACTGACTTTGGGAAGGTTCCCGCCGTGGACCAACCGTAGGGCTTGGTCCCAGGTCTGATACTGTAAGCCTAATGTAGGGATTTTTAGGGTTTAGGGTTTAGGGTTTAGGGTTTAGGGTTTAGGGTTTAGGGTTTAGGGCCGGTTTGACAATAACCCCCCCCATTCTTAACAGGTATGAAGATGGGGATCCTAATATTGCGGCCCTTCGAAAGAGGGCTTCGTTAATCAGCGGTCTACATCATACACCTGGCGCTGCTATACCACACAAGACTTGTAGATGTCTTGGGAGTGTTTCGGGCTCCGGTTTCCCAACATACTTATACTAAACTATACCCCCAAATCCTATTCTAGTAGTAAAATCTCTATAGCCGTTAGCTTGGATCAAGAGCCAACGACCTGAGTTCCCGATGCATAGTTCCGTAATAAGGCGGCTCTGAAATCCCGACTCCCAGAACTGCCGAGGCAACTATTACCGATTTCTGTCGGTGGCCCGGCGGATGCTTGACATGGGCTTAGCCTCTCGGAGCGAAGTTGGTGTTGCGCTCCCGTACTGTGACGATGGTGCTGATGATGATTTTGTTTTTTTCGGTTTAGGGCTTTAGGGATGATGACGACGATGGTCATGATGAGTATGGTGTTGTCCTTTTTGGTGAAGATGCTGGTGATGACGACGGCGGCAGTGATAGTTTCGATGGTGCTGATGAGGATCTTGGCGATACGGATGTCGATGGCCACCATCATGCCCATTTTTCCGCTGCCCCTACAGGTACGAGTTTCTGAAAGCTTAAGATCATGGCCGCTCGTGTGCCAGCCCATGTGCTATTAAAGAATCCTAGCCTTCGCTCTGATATTACGTACCACACCCATCATGCCATCACTCAGCCACTGAGTATATAATGACCGATTTACTAGGAAGACTGCTGTACTTTTTAGGGCTCCTCAACAGAATTGCAGTACGGTGAAAACATTCAATAAGAAATGGGCGTTCATCGGATTGGACCCTGGAAATTTCTTATTGGGCATTTCGGAAGACAAGAAATATGAGATTGTCTCAGGGTCTGGTAGATTTCTAAAACCTTGGTCTCACATCTAACCCGCACCTCTAACCCTCCAACCCTCCAACCCTCCAACCCTCCAACCCTCCAACCCTCCAACCCTCCAACCCTCCAGTCCAACCCTCTAACCCAACCCTCCAACCCTCCAGCCTTCCAGCCCTCCAACCCTCCAACCCTCCAGCCCTTCAGCCCCAACCCTGGGCTGGAGGGCTGGAGGGCTGGAGGGCTGGAGGGCTTGAGGGCTTGGAGGGCTGGAGGGCTTGGAGGGCTGGAGGGTTGGGGTTGGAGGGTTGGAGGGCTGGAGAGCTGGAAGGACTGATGGTGGAAGAGGGTTGGAGGGTTGGAGGAGGCCTGGAGGGTTGGAGGGCTGGAGGGCTGGAGGGCTGGAGGCGGGAGGGTTGGAGGGTTGGTGGAGAGTTGAAGGGCTGGAGGGTCGGAGGGTTGGAGTTGGAGTGGCCCTCCAGCATTAGGCCCCCAACCCCTTTATCAGCAAGAGGCCCTCCAACCCTCCAGCCTTCAGCCCAGCCCTCCCCAGCCCTTCCAGTCCTCCAGCCCTCCAGCCCCCCAGCCCTCCAGCC